CATGGTGGAAAATAAGTATTTGGTCACGCATCTTAAAGTTGCCAAGGTTGAGAAACACTGCTGTAGTGAGTGCCTCTGAATTACTCATCACAATTTAATCCTCATGGTCAGAACATGTATTTCTTGAGGTCAACTCAGCCACAAGACAATTGCTTAAATTCAACTGCTTTCAATAATTGACGTAGATCAAATCTCTCATATTGTCATTCACTTATTTATTAAACAAGCATGCCAAGTAAACAATTGAAAACACACAGACTTGTAATTAGACAGGGACTTTCTAATCCACCTGTTTTGTACCGCCAAATTTAGACCTAATTAAAGATAAAGCTTAATTTAGTCTTCTGTCTTTGTATCTATGCAGTAGTACTAATCAAGAGCAAAGTTTTCCACTCACCTGATGACTATGTGGACCCATTATTCCATTCTCTGGGGTCAAGGGAAAAAACTGTCAGTGTTGACCACTCCCCTAACATAACAAAGCAAGACCCCAATAACTTTGCAATAGGATTTAAAGGATTTTTGTGTCTGCTTGAAGATTAAGTTTGCTTCTCTTTTCATTTGGGTTAATTTCGGTTAGTGGAAGGCAGGCATGAAGAGAATGCTGGTGCTAGAGGTTTTAGTTTTCTCCTGCTTGACTAAAGTACAGGCAGTGGTGGTTTTACCTTCCTTCCCCCAGGAAAGTCCAGGCCTGATGGACACCTTTTGCTTCCCTCTTGCAAATTCTGCATCTTCAATAACAGTGTAATAATAATATAGGTTATATGAAATGGAATGGAACAGAACAGAGAACAGGAGTGGAATGGAATCGAATTATATAATGTAATATGGGTTCTGCACATCACAATGACATGGGATGTAAGATAATTTTGTCTCACTAGTCCCTGATGTACTAGAACTTTTCACTTGCAGTGCTTGCTTCTGAAGTCAATGTGTTCCCTCTTCTTTTATATTGCAAAATAATTTTAACTAGGAAATACTTTGTTTTTTTAAAAAAAAATCTTAATTTTCTTCACTCTTCTATTTGGGATTAGCTGCATATTTAGTAGGTATATCTTATCACTACTTACTTTCCTATGACTTCTTCCCTTTCAACTCAACTTGAGTCACTTGAAAGTTATTACAGTCCAGGGATCAGATCTCCTAATGTCAGAAAAAGTCAGAAGAAAGGACCATCACAATAATTCTAAGGGAAGGAAATGATATCCTCCACTGCATGGTCTCTGCATGATGACCATTGTCTTTATTAATAGAAGGACTCAGTCATGCAGTGGAACACACATGTGCTATCATATCATCTTGAAGGCAGGGTTTTTCAACTGCTGCTAAGAAGATCCTTCCTTGGACAATATTCTAGCTTCCTATATATGGCATGATTCTGCCCAGCTCTGTAATTTGCTGTAGTTCTGTTCTATAGAAATCTCTGCCAACCTTACAGGTCCCCCACATAGGACTAAGTGTCTCCTTATCTCTTAAAGTATTCTACTAATTTTTCTTTGCCACCCCTCCTATGCTTCAAAGTCCCTTCTAAAGTAATGGTTACCAAGATGTTAAGAGCAGAGGTCTGTCTGGAATCCTAACTTATAATTTGGGAGGGGAACCAAAATTTGAAGGGACAAAGCTCATGAAGTAACAGGTACAGAGCAGAATGTTAAGGTAAAAGTGTGTTAAGATATGCTACTATAGTATAGTACTTATACTAAAGTAGTATATACTTTATAGTACTTCAAGTACTGTATCAATACATGATACCAAAACATCATGTTTCTTTTTCTTTAAATATCTTCCACTGAATCAGGTTTTCTTTTGCTTTTTTCTAACCTTTTCACTTGACAATCCCAGCATGGTGGAACAAAATTTGAAATTGCTGGCTGGAAATAATGTCCTACAACACATCTGGAAGGCATCAAGTTGGGGAGACTGCAGTTGACTTTCACCTTTCTTCTGACTCTCCCCTCCTATTTTTTCTCCTCTTACAAGCTCTTGAGCACAAGCTCCCTAGGATGTGGATCTGTCTTTTGCTCCTATTGTCCTCTCAAGTGTCATGTGCATTGATAGTATATTAACCACGATAAAAAGGATTATATGACTATGCTAAGGTGATTGGAACCATGTTTGAACTAGAGAAGCCCATGAGCTACGCAGTCAAGAGAAAAGATAAAAACAGCTCATTCAAATCAATCAAAGGGCAGCAGGAATCAAAGAAGGACTAGGTTCCACAGGGCATGTGAGAAGTACCTATTGAACTTACTCTTCTCCAGGATAGCCAGATGAAAAGAAAAGTAAGCCATAGCACAGGAAAGAATAGGGTCAGTGCCTTCTAGGTTTTAGGTTCAGAAAAGAACATTTCGTACTTGATGCCATTTAGTCAAAGCTGCTGTTAGACACTTCTACGCTTCCTTTCTATCATTCCTTGTCTACCATTTCCTTTTTGCCCGGAGTCTTTCCCGTCTTGGAACGCATCCTTTCTAGTTCCCATGGCAACATCCATCTTCCTCTATTTGTTCCCTAAGGACTCTTCCTTGCATTTGTTGCATCTTCTTTCTTTTTGCCGAAACCATTTCCTGGATTCTACTGGTATCCCCCACTGCCCACTGTACTTGGATCCCCTCAGTTTGGCTGAACATATATGACTTTAAATGCCTATTCAAAAATTTCATCTTTTTTGTAGTATTTTGATTGTTTTCAGTTTTCCCAATAGTTGCTTTCAACAGAGGCTTGATTTGTTTGCAAATTGGACACTAGATGGTACACAGAGATTTAGTATCCACCTCATCCCCCCATAAGTTTTCATAACTTTGTACACAAACATACATACATACATACATACATACATACATACATACATACATATGGAACTTTGTAACTTAGGAAAAAGAAGAAATACGGAGAGGCCATATGTATATGGGTA